CCGAGGCGCTTGTGGTTGGACTTGATCCCTTAACCTTTGGGTTAACAGCCGAGCGTTTTAACTGCTTTCACTACCCAGGTACTCCAACAGCTAGATATTTGTGTGAAAATAAAAGAAAATAACAAAATAAACCCTAAGATAATAGCACACAAAAAATTTAATTGAAAAGAGTCCTAGATCTAAATGTAAAACTATAAAACATCTAGAAAAGACGTTCAACATAAAAATCATTGGAGGAATGAAATTAACACAAAAATGATATACTGCTATTCAGGAAGTAGAATGGCTAACATTAAAAACATATTCAGTATTAAGTGTAGTTGAGAATAGATAGCAACTCACAAAACAAACTCATTGCCATTGAGTCAATTCTGACTCACAGTGACCCTTATAAGACAGGATAGAACTGTCCCATAATGTTCCCAAGGAGTGGCTGGTGCATTTGAAGTGCCAACCTTTTGGTTAGCAGCCAAGCTCTTAACCACTGTGCCATCAGGGCAACTGGGGTCCTAATATACTACTGGTAAAAATATAAAACAGTACAACTTTTGAGACTGCAGTTTCTTAAAAAGTTAAACACTCATCAGCCACTTGGCCCAACCTTTCCAATTTTAGTGTTTTAGCAAAGAGAAATGAAAGCATATTATCTCACAGAGATTTGTGTATGAATGTTTATAGCAGGTTTATTGTGATACCTAAAACCTTGAGATAACCCAAACATCCACCAACAGGTGAAAGATAATTTTAAAAAATGGTATATTCATAATACAGTGGAATACTACTTATCTATAAAAAAAAAATACCAAAACAGCAATAGGTATGGATACCAAAACTCATTAAATTGAGTTAAACAGATTTTAAAAAGAGTACATACTGCTGAATTTCAGTTATAACAAACTCTAGAAAATGCGAACTAATTTATAGTGACATAAAATAAATCAGTAGTTGCCTAGGATCTTAGTTGGAGAGAGAGATTGTAAAGAGGCACAAGGAAACATTTGTATGCGATTAAAATAGTTAATATATTGATTTTGGTAATGGTATCACTGATGTATAAACATGTCAATATTCATCAGGGTATAAACATGTCAATACTCATCATTTTAAGTATGTATATATCACTTTACATAAATAAGACCTCAAGAAAGTAGAAACTGTTTAAAACTAAGAAAGAATAGCTACGACAACAAGGGGATTCTCTAACAAATGAGAATTCTAATGCAATCTTTACTCTCTTTCTTGTTGAATTATTATTTATGCAACTTTTAAGCATCTTTTCAGAATAACATGTTGCTTTATGATAGACAAATAAAACAAGTAAATGAAAGTATAATTGGAGAAACCATGGGTACAGTGGAAAGATGCAGGCAATCTGGGCCCTAAAGCTCGACACTGCCATTGACTACCTTTGGCAAAGTACTTAATCAGAAATTCCATTTTCTCACTTAGAAATCTGAGGTATTAAGATCTGCTTAGCAAATTTCTTATAACGTTTAATGAACAATCATGTGTAAAGTATCTTGCAGAGTACATTACCTCTTAACAGAAATTCAATAACTATCAGTTCCCTTATCATTAAAATCACAAGAGTATCTTTAAATTGGCTTTGCAAGAACACCAATTTGGGAATAAGAAAAATGAAATAGAGAAATATTCAAAAGCAATAAATACAGCAATTCCTTTTCAAGTAAGCTTTAACATGATTTATATCTAAATTTTCTTCTTGCAATTGTATCACGGAAAATGATCCTTTAAATCATTAATAATGATAATCTACAATCCTCACTTCTCAACACTCTTCATCAATCTTGGGTCTGATTGTAAAGGTTACTTTTTTTTTTTTAAACTGGAATTTAGATGAAGGTTTACAGAACAAACTAGCTTCTCATTAAACAGTTAGTACACATATCGTTTTATGGCATTGGTTAACAACCCCATGACATGTCAGTACTCTCCCTTCTGGACCTTTGGTTCCCTATTACCAGCTTTCCTGTCCCCTCCTGCCTTCTAGTCCTCGTCCCTGGGCTGGTATGTCCCTTTAGTCTCATTTTGTCCTATGAGTCTGTCTAATCTTTGGCTGAAAGGTGAACCTCCAGAGTGACTTCATTACTGAGCTAAAAGGGTGTCCTGGGGCCATACTC